TCATTCTATCCCAACAGTCCCAAAAGTCTTAGCATGTTCCAGCACCAACTTAAAAGTCCAAAGTCTCCTCTGAGACCAAAAGCCAAAGTCCTTCCAACTGCAAACCTGTAAAACGAAACCAAATGTATCTACTTCCGAGATACAATGGTGGAACAGACATTGGGTACACGTTCCCATTCCAAAAGGGAGGAATAGGCTAGAAGAAAGGAGAAACAGGCCCCAAACAAGTCTGAAACCCAACAGGGCAGATATTAAGTCTTAAAGCTCCAAAATAATACTTTGACTCCAAGTCCTGCATCCTGGGCACAATGAGGCGTCTGGGCCCCCAAAGCCTTGGGCAGCCGCATTCCCACAGCTCTGCCAGGTGCAGCCCAGTGGGCTGTGCTGGTGCCTGCAGATTTCCAGGCCTGCATTGCATGTTACCACTGGCCCTGCTGTTTGGGGGTCCTGGCGGCATCCCCGCTGCCTTGGCTCTACTAGACATTTTCCCCATGGGGGCTCGCTCTCTGTGGGGGCTCTGACCCCACATTCCTGCTCGGCATTGCTCTAGTAGATGGCCTTTGCGGTGGCTCTGCACCTGCAGCAGACCTCTGCCTGGGCTTCCAGGCTTTTCCATACATCCTCTGGAATCTGGGTGGAGGCTGCCATGNCTAGACATTTTCCCCATGGGGGCTCGCTCTCTGTGGGGGCTCTGACCCCACATTCCTGCTCAGCATTGCTCTAGTAGATGGCCTTTGCGGTGGCTCTGCCCCTGCAGCAGACCTCTGCCTGGGCTTCCAGGCTTTTCCATATATCCTCTGGAATCTGGGTGGAGGCTGCCATGCTTCCACTGCTCTCACATCCTGCCAGCCTGCAGACTTAACACAACGTGGACGCCATCAGGGTTTCAGGATTCTATTCTCCAGAGCTGCTGCACAAACCACACTTGGGGCTGCTCCCGCCAGAGCAGCTGGTGCAGGGAGTAGGTTCCCAAGGGCAGCTGTGCCCCAGGTCTGTCCTCTGGGACAACTCAGTCCCTCTAGGCCTCAGGGTCTGTGATGAGTGGGGCACCCTTCCAGACTTCTCAAATGCCTTTAGGGCATTTTTCCCATTGTTCTGGTTATTAGCATCTGGCTGCTTCACCACCAAGATAACGTCCTTAGTAACCAGTTTATCTGCTTCACTCTTGCATTTTTCTCCTGCTGTCTGCTTCTCTACCTCATGGCCAGGCTGCAAATTTTCCAAATGTTTATGCTCTGTTTCCCTCTTAAATTCTGGCTTTACATCATGCCTTTGCTGTCATAACTCAGAATAGGCTGTTAAAACTAACCATGCAGCTTCCTTAATGCTTTGTTGCTTAGAAATTTCTTCTGCCAAGCATTCTGGTTCACAACTCTTAAGTCCCACCTTCCGCAAAGTCTAAGGGCATGGACACAATGCAGCCAAGTTCCTTGCAATGGTGTAGCAAGAGTTATCTTTTGTCCGATTCTCAATAAGTTTCTCATTTCTATCTGAGACCTCATCAACCACATGGTCTTTAGTGTCCACATTTCTATCAACATTTTGGTTACAACCATTTAACCAGTCTCTAAAATGTTCTAAACTTTCCCTCATCCTTTTATCTTCTTCCAACTCCTCCAAACTCCTCCAACCTTTGCCCATTACCCAGTTCCAAAGCTGCATCCACACTTTCAGGTATCTATATAGCAACACTCCACTCCTCAGTACCAAATTTTTGTTTTAGTCTGTTCTGTGTTGCTATGACAGAAATACCTGAGACTGGGTAATTTATAAGGAAAAAAGGTTTATTTGGCTTACGATTCTGGGACAGCTGCATCT